ATTTGAGGGAGGAGTGAAGGAATCCATTTATGCCAAAGTGGAAAATCCTTCCCTCAATAGAGGTGGAGGCCTCAGACACAACTTGTCCCCCATTTTCCATGCTAGTAAGAAACACAGCCACCCTGGAAGACTTTTATGGGATCCCCCTAACCAACTTTTCTAGACTGAAGAAGCTGCTTGGACAACTAGCGAAATGTCTCTACCAAAAAGAAAAGAAGTCCAGTTGCCATGACTCAATCTCCAGATTATGTTCAAGTTACTTTATTCAGTGCCTACAGAGAACTTAGGCAAACAGGAGTTAAAGGAGGACCTGCTTAGAAACATTTCTGTTCAAGGATCCATTAGAGCAACATTCTTTGGCCAAGTGCATGTGGGTACGACTCGGCAGAAGAAACGCAGCTGAACCTTCCACTTTGCTCAGGTTGAGAGACTCTCGCTTGCTCAGAGAGAAAATTATTCACTAATCTGCTTCACTTCATTGTGATGCCGAAATGGAAAACAGTAGGGCGATTGTTGCTATTATTCTGAATGCAACCAATGCAGAATAAACTTAAGAAACAAAATTATAAAAAGGTGGTGGTAGTGTGACCATGTCACGCCCTCTGTAATTCATACAAGTATTTTTCTGAGCGTGTGTGATTTCCACGAGCCCAGGAAAATGCACCCCAGACAGGTAGAGAGAGAGTGACCGTACCAGATTAAACCGTGCGCATTTCAGTTGGTTTTTGTTTGTATCTTTCAAGCTGAAATCATCGTTTAGATTCTCATTTCTGGCTATATGAATCAAGGTTTGGTGAATCAAGGTTTGGTATCCATGGTGATAGGCAGTTTTATTAGGTAGCTTTTTGCCTTACGTAAATAGTAAGAACAGTAAAATACCTTACAAAATAAAACTTTATGTTTTTCCCCATCAGGTCTGGTGGTGCATGTACAGCTGCTGCATTCCTGAAAGAATTTGTGACAGTTCCTCACTGGGCCCATTTGGATATTGCTGGTGTAATGGAAAATAAAGATGAGGTTCCGTATCTGCGAAAAGGCATGGCAGGAAGGCCAACACGTACCCTGGTTGAGTTTATTACTCGACTGACCGAAGACAAGCAAAGCTTCTAGAAAGCAGCTGTGCAAGGATCACCTCTGGCCTTAAAATCAGTTAATATGAACATGAAGAAACCAGTGATCTCCCAGCCAGTGCACTGATATAATTCCAAAAGGGCCATCCACCCTCGACTTTAATTTTGGGAGGCTCTTTAGAAACACAGTGATGGACTATAAATTCATTCCATAGAGCTCTACTAAACCACAATCTCTTTTTATAATCTTCATCCCAGGATTCTGTCCTGCATTTGGTACCCAAAGAGCGATCAGTTTAAACCATAAGGCTTTGTAATACAGATTGAATAATAGATGCACAGTTATCACATACAATAAATATATCTTCTGACACTTCTGGTTGTTGAGGGTTTTTTTTCCTCCCCCAGAATACGCCTTCCAAAAGGGTTTGTTTTATAGATGGTTGGGCAAAATATTGAGAGAGAAGCAGAGCCTTATGCCAGCGCCTCTCTCAAATAAATTATTGTTCCTGCATGCCGGCAGGCGAAACTTGAATTTTGCAGGGGACAGGATATTTCTTGCCCTGCAGTGGGGTCTTAGTGGGAGACATGCTTTGTGTGCAAAATGGCCTTGTGTTTCCAGTGGGTGTGGGAAGGGCTTGGCAGTCCATCATCCCCGGCAGAAAAGCAGATGGAACTGGGGTCAAGGGGCTTCTTGTGGCGTCGTGTTTCCTCCAGGGCTGGCCAAGCAGCTCCAAGTGATGGACGGTGGCCTCAAAGCAGCTTCCGTGGGTGCTTTTAGGACAAAGAGGCTGGCTTTGCATCAGCTTAGCAGTAATGGTTATTTTCTTACCAAACGGGCTCATTTCAAATGCTTTCCACACGTGTCTGTCATGTCTCTTGACTGACTGAATAAACCAGGATGTCCTTACGGAAAGGCTCCGTTCCTCCCTTTTGGATAGCTTAGAAGTGCCGTGACTGTATGTGCTTTATGACAAAGGACAGTCCTTTGGCTCAGAAAGCTGTCCTTTAGATTTATTTTTCAGAAACTCACTTTTGTCCTTTATTTTGGTCCTTCAACTTTTACCATACAAATGCAGTCTCACCATACAAAATGCATTAAGGCAGTCTTTCACATTCAGGAGAAAAATACAGAAACTGAATGGTCTTTTAAAAATAATGTTACATATACTGTTTGATTTTAGATACTTTTATTGGAATATGCATTTTTGTAAAGTTTTTCTTAGTTTTGCTCTTGCCTTTTCCTTTGTAAAGCAAAGTTATAAGCAATTTTTTTTATCCTGATGAACCTCTTTCAGATTTGCCCCTTTTTCAGGATTGTCTTTTATTTTTCCCAAGAAAATTGGGTCACCGTTCTAGAAGGCACCTTCCAGGCAGAGCACGTGGGTGGGGATATGCAGAGCGGGGTGGGGGTTGCTCGTTGAAATGAGTCCCTGAGCTGGGAGGGAGATCTTTCCGACACGTGTAGGGACCGTTCACACGTGCCGACCGAGCGCTGGGGGGAACGGGCTATTCGCCTCCGCTGGAGGACGCAGTACAGCGCTCCAGCCTCCTGCACAAGCTGGTGACCATTTATTCTATTTAGGTATTTATTCCAACCGAAGCCCCGAAGGAAAACAGACACGGCTCCCTTCTGGGCGTGGCTCCGGGGCTCCACCCCTTTGGTCCTAGTCTCGCAATGCCGTGACTCATCTGCGCGCTTTCGTTCCCTCGTGCGCTTGCGCCTGCGCAGTCGCCCCTTCAGCTTCCCCTCAGTTACTATGGCGGCTGGACTGAGCGGGATGTTTGGGAACCAGGGCCCGGTTCCTCCCCCGCCGCCTCCCCCACCACCTCCTCCGGTGGCCTCCGGCGGCCCGGGCCCCGCGGGGCTCCTCCCGCCGAACCCCACGGGTCCGCGAACCCCATCGGTACCCTCGTGGATGAGCTGGAGGCTTCCTTCGAGGTAGGCCGTGCGGGACGAGAGGCCTCCCCAACCATAGAGATGAGGGAGGTGGGCAGGCGCAGGGCTGTTGCCGTCCTCTTTTGGACGAGTGCGCTTCTTACCATAGAGAATAGGAAGCTAGCCAGAGTCCCTTCGTATGGACTTCCGGTTCCGAGTTTAAACGGTAGCTTGCTTGAGTAGAGTGAAACCTTTCGTTCTGTTGCGAGCCTGTGTGGGATAATAATAGTGACCGCGATGACCCTTGGCTTGGGGAACTCTGTGGGTGACCTCTGTGGGTGAAAGCGGGCCCTCGCTTTCGACCTAGCCTACCTCGCAGGGCGGTTGTTGTGGAGATAAAAAGATCCTCCTGGATGCCACCCTGAACTCATCGCAAGGAAGAGAGGTAGAACCACCAAATAAAAACAGTTGAAGGAAATAAACTTTTAAAAAGTTGAAGAAAAGTACTATTAAGAACTGCCTTCTGGAGAAAGAATCAGGATATAAATGGAATAAAGATATTGTCGTATCTTTTGATTTAAAGTGGCCTGTCAATGCTGATTCTAGTAGGTTTTGCTCTTTCCTGTATTTGTATGGTAGAAAACCAGGTGCGCGTGGGGAAGGGGATAAATCCCTTACAACAGTCCTGCGATATTTTTCATTTTCCAGTGAGGAAGGTGCCCTAGTCTGTTGCAGCAACAGCAGCAAAAGTCTTGTGCTACTTGGACAGTCAAATTGACAGTGGCCTATGTTTTGTAGTCTACCGTTCATGGATAGTTTATGAAAGTTCATGCCATCATAGATTTGTTAGTTTTAAGGAATCATATTACTTATTTGTGTACTCATCTATGGTATTGTAGAGTCACAAGTGGGGCTAAGATGGTTTTGCTTTGTAAAGGTATTGTCAAATGTAAAAATGGGGCCAGTGCACAATCTCCCTTGGTGGAAAACTGAAAGTCTCCAGTAGCTACTATTACAAGTAGCTCCTCTTTTGTTTAATGTATATATAAATCTGTTTGTGGCCAAAATAAATCAATTAGAACTTCACCCTTCAAAACTAGCAAACAGACATATTGCAACTTTGTTGTATGCAGACGACATAGTACTTCTATTACAAATGCTAATTGGACTTAAACGAGCCCTGAATGCTCTGGCCAGTTATTGCTCCAAGGAAGCACTTGAAATCAACTATAGCGAAACTAAGATTTTGATCTTTGCAAAGAGACCTAAACTGCATGCCTAGAGAATAAATGGCCAGAATATTGAACAAGTAAAATCCCTGGGCATGGTTTTCTGTAGCTGCACTAAATGCAGTGCACACCAAAACTATGCTATATAAAATGCTCAAAAAACAGTGGTTGCAATTCAATCCTTTCATTTTACCAGAGGAGCTCAGCATATCCCAGCAGCACTGAAGCCATATTTAGCTGAGGCTTGTGTACAACTACTCTTTGGTGCCCAGGATCTTACCCTTTCTTACTCCTCTGGAAAGAGTTCAATCCAAATTCCTAAGGGCTATATTCCAGGTAGCCCCCTGCGTTCCAAATGTAGTATTAAGGAGGGAAGCAGGGTTGTCTAAAGCCGAAACAGGTGCATGGACTTGTATTATAGCACATTGGCTGAAATTACTGTTCTTTCCTACAGGTTTGAGTTCTTTCCTTATTGAGGACAATTATAAATCACTATGGTTCAGAACTATTTCACAAAAACTGCAACATCTTGGCTTCTCCAGGGAGGTGTTCCTAATGATGGGCTATGAGCGTGCACTTAGTGCATTTAAACAACATATCAGAGATCTGGTAGTCCAACAGGACCAGTCTGCTCTACCTAAGAACATTTTTCTGAGCAGTCAAGCCCGTTTTTATAAACCAGCGAGTTACTTACATTATATAACTGTCTCCGAATTCTGAAGGGTGCTACTGTAGCATGTTGCAACGCTCTTCCCACAGCAGTTTTGGAGGGCCGATACAAAAAAAGTCCATATGAGCTGAGTTTGTGCCCCTGTGGACAAGGAGCTATTGAAACTACAGCTCTTGTCCTGCTATAATGTATCTTCTATAAGGACTCACAGACCCATTTTATAATTCCCTATTTGATAAAGTACCCGGGAAATTCTGATTTTTTAATGATATTTTTTGTTGCTATCTGATCAGTATGATTCAATTTCTTTGAACGTAGCTAAATTTTGTTATATTATCCGTAAAATTAGGCAGACTTTGGTTGCCCACTGACAATCCCACCATTATTATTACCATGTTTTATTTCATTTTAATGCATTTTTATTTGTATTTGCACCAATCTGTATTTTGTTTGTAATTCTGGTCTGTGACCATAATAAAATATTGATTGATACTATTACAAGTATATTTAACTGTAGAGGACAATTAAAAAGAGCACAGCGCAGACGTAGGTTAGTTGGTTGAGGGTATTTTTTAATGCCTTTGATAAGGGGGGTTTTGCCTCTGAAAGTTTATGTGCTAATTCAGCTATTATAATTGGTCAGTATGAAAAGATTAGAAACTGCCACTCAGTTAAAAACAACCCTTAATGTGAACTTTCAAAGCAAAATCACTGAGGGAAAATAGTACGTAGCAGAGATACGGGCTGGAAAATATTCCAAAGTCAGAATATTCCACTTTCAGGTGATTGTTCCTAAACAGTGCATCTCCTTAGTGGGCTCCACTAGCTGGGAGAGAGAAGGAAGGGAAACAGCTGGAGAAGCTGCAGAGAAATGAGACTTCTATGTAGTCCCTATGTGTCCAGGCTGAATGATATTTTTTATGTGGAAGACTTCCTGCTGTGCAGTGAATAAATAGGAAGAAACCAGAAGCAGTTTCCATGTGTGTACACTTGCGTTACCCTTGATTCTTCCCTCAGTAGTCATTCCTAATGATCTGCTTGAAAGGGACGTGATGTGCCTGTCTCCTCCTCAGATCTCTTATCATAATGCCTGACCTAAAAAAAAAAAACACACCCAAGTGCATGGCATCATGATGTTTAATTCACTGAAGAAAATTGCCCATTGTGGGTATTGTGGTCAAGCGTATGTCAACAATGCTACAAGGGTGAAGAAACATTTAATGCAGTACAGAAAATATCCTGAAAAAACACAGATCATGTACAAAAAGCTAATCCAAGATGAAGTATGTCATCAGACAGAAGCCTGTCTCAGGAATTCCGTAGTTTCTATATTGCAGTTAATGATGTTTCTCCACCTATCAGAGCTTTTTGTTTGCTTTAATAGAATGTTCAAATCATAAAGAACACTGAGGTTTTTTTCCCCCCATATCAATTTTTTTTGTTTTAATCTGCGCTCAGTTGTTACCGACTCTGCAGTGACTGCTTGGACGAGTCCTTGCAGTTTTCAAGGCAATTGTTT